GGAGTGGGCGGAGGGTGAGAACAAGCCGAGTGAAGGGAGGGGGAGGCTGCAGAGCGACCCATTCTGGGTTCCCAGAGAGTTACAAGCCGAGCTCGAGGAGTTTAGGAGGCGAAGGGGAAGGTGGTCTTTTGCTTTTTGATTCCTTATTTTGCTAAGGGAGGATGGGGGTCGAGGCCTGGCGCCAGTTGTGAGAGCACGTTCTGTGGAGTGGGGGGCAGCAGGGGAGGTCTGAGACAGGAGGGAGGAGCTGTGTGAAAGAGAGCCCGGTCCTCTGGTGCCCTAAAAGCCCCTTGTCCTCATCACTGTGTCTGTGGCTTTGGAAGGGAAGCAAGTTTGCAAGGCGGTCGGGTAAGGGTTGGGCGGAAAACCCGCCGCCCCGCGTTTATTTTACAGTAAGTGTTTTTGGATCCTGAGGAGGGCCTGGGTTAGTGAACAAGCCACCCACAGGCCACCAGGTGTTGGACTGGGGTTTGTGGCGCAGGGATCCTGGGCCTCCGTCGCTTGGATGGGGCTCAGGCAGCTGGGGTCCCAGGGGCGGTGGGCGGTTGGGGAGAATTTTGGGGACCGGGATGTGTGTGTGCGCGCACACGTACGTGTGTGTGTGTGTCTGTCTCTCGGAGGTGGTGGCCTCTGTGCTTTCTGGCATCAAGGTTTTACTAATCCGATCTGTGGCATCTGTTTGCTCCCTTGCCTTCCACCCCCAGGTTTGGTTCAAGAATCGCCGGGCCAAATGGAGAAAGCGGGAGCGCAACCAGCAGGCCGAGCTGTGCAAGAATGGCTTTGGGCCGCAGTTCAACGGCCTTATGCAGCCCTACGACGACATGTACCCGGGCTATTCCTACAACAACTGGGCCGCCAAGGGTCTCACGTCAGCCTCTCTGTCCACCAAGAGCTTCCCTTTCTTCAACTCTATGAACGTCAACCCCCTGTCGTCGCAGAGCATGTTCTCCCCACCCAATTCCATCTCCTCCATGAGCATGTCGTCCAGCATGGTGCCCTCAGCTGTGACCGGTGTCCCGGGCTCCAGCCTCAATAGCCTGAATAACTTGAACAACCTGAGCAGCCCGTCGCTGAATTCCGCGGTGCCGACGCCCGCCTGTCCTTATGCGCCGCCGACTCCTCCGTACGTTTACAGGGACACGTGTAACTCGAGCCTGGCCAGCCTGAGACTGAAAGCAAAGCAGCACTCCAGCTTCGGCTACGCCAGCGTGCAGAACCCGGCGTCCAACCTGAGTGCTTGCCAGTATGCCGTGGACCGGCCGGTGTGAGCCTCGCCCACAGCACCCGGATCCTAGGACTGTGCCAGATGGGGCAACTCTGCCCTTGAAAGACTGGGAATTACGCGAGAAGGTCGTGGGCACTAAAGAAAGGGAGAGAAAGAGAAGATATAAAGAGAAAAGGAAACCACTGAATTAAAGAGAGCTCCTTTGATTTCAAAGGAATTTCCTCAATGTCTGACATCTTTCACTAAAAGTATTTCCGACTGTTGCAAGGACACACACAAATGTTTGACTGGATATGACATTTTAACATTACTATAAGCTTGTTATTTTTTAAGTTTAGCATTGTTAACATTAAAATGACTGAAAGGATGTATATATATCGAAATGTCAAATTAATTTTATAAAAAGCAGTTGTTAGTACTATCACAACAGTGTTTTTAAAGGTTAGGCTTTAAAATAAAGCATGTTATACAGAAGCGATTAGGGTTTTTCGCTTGTGAGCAAAGGAATGTACATACTAAATGCCACACTGTATGTTTCTAACATATTATTATTATAAAATAATGTGTGAATATCAGTTTTAGAATAGTTTCTCTGGTGGATGCAATGATGTTTCTGAAACTGCTATGTACAACCTACCCTGTGTATAACATTTCGTACAATATTATTGTTTTACTTTTCAGCAAATATGAAAAACGTGTTTTATTTCATGGGAGTAAAATATACTACATACAAATTGGTCTGGATTCTTTCTGCCCTCCTCTGTCACCTGGCCAGGGTTTCTCACTCACTGCTTCCTAAACAAACCAGTTCCCTCTGCCCGCCTAGTTAAACACACAAGGCAGCAGGACTTATTTAAATTTGGTAGAAATAAATTATAGTCATTCCTCAGAAACTAAAAAGAAAAAAAAAGAAAAGCCACTCCCAGGGGTAAAAAAAAAAAAAAAAAAAGGCTGCAAAGTCTGGTCTTGTCTCCCAGATTTTTCTTTGGCTTAAACCCAGAGGATTCCATTATTGCTAGCAAATAATATAAGAGAGAAAGAAGAAAGGAGAGAGAAATTTAGGAAGTATGTCAGCTTGGAATGACTTCTTTAGGGGGGAGGTCTTCACATCCAGTAAATTGTTCTGGAGAATTATGTGTGTATGTATACATGTACAGTTTATATACATTCCTCTCAAGAGGAATACATCTGTAATAAGTTTACAAGGAAACACCTCCAGTTCAAAATATTTAGGCCTCCACGTTTATCTTTCAGGCTTAAGTAGAGAGATTCTTCATGTTATATTGCATTCTATTTCCAAATCCTTTCGAGACATTAAAAGAAACAAAGACCATTTCTAATAACTACAGCCCTTTAGTTTCCCAAAGAGCCCAGGGGTTGAGAGGTTAGAGTGGAGTTTCCTGAGTCTTGTAGAGCAATATGTAGTTGAGGCAAAGGTCACGCTCCCCATGTTTTGTTTTAAATAATATTGACCCATTAATTCTAAACCTGCTTGTTCCTGAAATTATACAGGATTATGGTTTGCAAACTGCGGGACAATGAAGCAAATCAAGATGAATTACAGCCCTGGCCCTCCCTCCCATCCTCTGACATCTAAACGGGGAATGAGGTCGGTGTGAGTGTTTAAAAGAACCTTAAGCACCAGCTCTTCCTTTGTTGGTGGTTTTCAGCCTTTTTTTTTTTTAATGTGAAATTTGATTTCGTAACAAATCGTAGCAAATAGACTTAGTCCGAAGGAATTCATTACCGAGGCGCTGGGGGGGGGGGCGGTGAAGGGTAAAATCTGAGGTCCTTTGCTATTCTGGTCACCCTCCTCCCCCCAGTGGGCGAGGACAAACATAACCCTGGGGAATAGGGAGCGGAAAAGTAGCCAGCAGTTTTCTGGGGGCGAGAAAACCTGTGTTTTTGCGCTTAGATTATTTTTATCTGGCTGAAACTTTACCTATTAGCTTTTGAGGCTCAGACCCTGAGTCTTTGTTCTGCATGGGACTGCTGCTGCCACTTAAAGAGATCGCCGATAATGTCCCCGATTTAAGATCGGTGCTCAATGCACATTAACTTTCTTTCTTTCTTTCTTTTTTAAGCTCTGCCTCTAACCTACGGAGGGATCACGCGGCAGTGGGGGGCAGATAAAAGCCCTTTGGCCGAGGGTCACCTCCGTCCTTGTTGTTCACTTGAGAGCAGTGGAGAGGAAAACGGTCCCCACGGGCGGACTTTGGCTTCTGGAGCCGCGGAGCCCAGCGGTCCGGGCCTCCCCGAGCTCCGCCTGGTATGGGGGGAGGGGCGGCGGGGGAGGGGAGGGAGGGGACTGGGAGAGGGGATTTGGGGATGGGGGCTGGAAACGCTAACGAGACCTGCTGGGAGGATTTGCGTCTCCTGCAGGTCCAAGAGTGACTTGGGAGAGCTGGCTACGGGAGGCGGACCTCGGCCTAGTTTGCTGGCTGAAATAGAACTCTATTTCGAGGCAATTGATCAATCTGCAGAAAACAAAAATGGAAGTCGAGGTTTGGGAAGAGTTGTCTCATCCCCAACTTGAGTGGTGCGGGCTGGGGGCGGAGACTCGGGACTGATGAGAAGCCCTTTCTCCCACCTCAGCTCCTTTCCCTGGACTTCCAGAAGGAAGAATTACCCTCTTCACCACCTCCTTGTTCCCTACACCCATCTCCGCTCGCCCGCCGACCCTTTTCCGCTCCTCTTTTTCCCTTCAAGTGAGAAAAGCCTAGTTCCCGAGCCAGTGGAGCCGGTCCTCTCGCCCCTCCCGTTCCCACGCGAGTCCCCCCTTCAGCCATCGCCACTGCCACCACCTCGGTTCCACTCAATCGATTTTTGCTGCATGTCAACACTTATTGCCGGTGAGTGTGAGGGTATTTTTTCTCCTTCTCTAGGTCTCTTAATGATTTCTGAGCTAGTTGTGTATTAAAGTGCTTAAAGGAACCTTTAAGGTAATCTATAGCATGAACACCAACCTCCTCCGCTTGGGATCAAAGATGGCGAGCGGGAGGTCGGGGCCCCCAGGAGTCCAGGCCTCGTAGGCCTCAGCCCTCTGCCGCCCACCTCTGCGCGCCCAGAGGCTGGGGCGGGGGGTGCTGGGCCAGGAACCCGGCACCGCCGATTTGCGGTCTAAGGGCTTTCTCCTCCCCCCACCCCCCACCCCCGCCTTCCCCAGTCACCCCCTCACCTGTTACTCTAACCCTTTCTCTCGCCTGTCCTCGGTTTTTAAACTTTTAAATTTCCTAAGGCCTCAAACTCTTCAAACCCCTAATAGCGAATTCAAAGCGGTGGAGACCTGGGAAAAGGTGTGTGCGGCCCACGTTTGTCTCACTTTCCTCTCAGTTCCTAAATCTGAGTTTTACTGCCCATAACTTGGTTAGAAATTTAATTTAAAAAACTATGTTGGGCAACCTGAGCCGTGTAGGCGGTTTGATTAGGAGGCAAATCCTCCCCTTCGCCTCCCGGCCCTGCTCGTTCTTCCACCCCCACCCTGGTCCTGGGAGGTGCTGAAACCCGGGAGTGCCTTTAGGAGTGTAACAACAACGAAAATAATGGGGGAAAAATGAAGAGCATCTTAAAAGTCCCGTTATTCCTAGAAAGCCCCATAAATGAACCCTGTGAAGAGCAGCGAACTCTTTTTAAGGCGAGTCTATAAAAACCTGGCGCGTTGGCGAAGGAGGATAACCGCCCCCTGCCCCCCGCGTCGCGAATGTGACCAAACAAAGGTCTGTCCTGCAATCCACATCCTAATCCACGGGCGCCTTCGCCGCCGTCGCCGGGGCTCCCAGCCTCCCGCCCGCAGTTCTCCGTCGACGCGGGCTACGCTGGGAGTCCCTGGCTCGCCGAGGTAAATTTTTTAGAGAGGGACAAAAAAAAAGGGGGGGGATGTAATAAGATCAGAGGCCTTTATGAATATAGAGTCCCTATTGATTGATTTATTAACACCCCCCCTCCCCCCGCAAGCAGCAGTTAATCTAAGCACATGGAGAAACGAGAAACGTGACTGATTTGAGGGAGGAGAAGTAAACGGGAGAAGTTTCTTATAGCAGATTTTCAGAAGGAATTTTTTAGAACTACCCTTCCTCCCCCAGCATCCCTAATCTGACAATTGCATTTTAACTGAACTTGAGAAAGTGGTAATTGAAGAAGAGATTAAAAAAAAATAATATGTTACGTAGAAACCTGATTTTAGACAAATAACTAATTTTCCTTTTCAGGTTTTAGCAAGAGAAACCAGAGAAATTTTACTCTAATCTTAAAAGTTTATTTATCACCCTGCTTCCCAACTCCCCTTTCCCCGCCCCCCACGAAGAGAGTCCTTCTCATTGTTGACATTCTATCTGAAAAGATAAAATCCAGAATTTATTGTGCTTGGGATGTATAACCTCATTCACTTCTTGCTGAGTATTTTATGCATTTTATGTGAATGTTGATTTTAGATTTTGTTTGAAGAATAGAGAAGGCCTGGAAAACATAAAATGTACCATTGAAGATGTATTTAATTCTACTTAATTGCCTTTAAAAAATCATTGCTACTTCTTTTGTAACAATGTATTAACAGTTCAGTGGCAACTGTGGAAAACGGGAGATAGTTAATTACTCAGTCAAAAAATGACTAAAAGAACTATATAAATTTCTTTCTAAAAATATTTTTAAAACATTTAATAAATGTATGGTAAAGGTGTTTATTTTTGGAGAGCTGTGTGAGGGATTGCATTTTTTTCCCTTCTCTCTGAAGGGCTAAGAGAAGCTGAGACTCATTGGTTCCTCGATGAGCAGGGTGTGTGTCTGCACCCTCTGACTTTGATTGATCTTTCCAGGCCTAGTTCTCCTGTTCTTCCTGCAAAAATGTTTAAGGTGCTCCTCTCCCTCCACTTTGCCCTGTCTCTTCCCTCCCCCCCATCTTCTCCCTCTCCTGTTTCCTTTATCCACACCAAAGTTTTTTGTTTGTTTGTTTGTTTCCTGTTCTATCAACTTAGAAAATGGTAGGCTTATGCCGGGGCCTCATATACCAGGGCTAAGGCTTGGTTAAGGTGGTTTCCTTAGAGCCCCCAGGACTCTCTCTACCAAAGCTTCCTCTGTCCAGAAGTAGCAAAGCCTTTCTGTCTTTGACGACAGTTTGCAGCAGCGCTGGACCCCCTCTCTCGCAGTCCTGGGCAGGAACCTTCATCTTCGTCGCTCTGGCGAGATGAGACCTAGAATCGTCTCAGCTGTCCTTGAGAAGGCAGTGGGGCAGCATATCGAATGGGACTTGGATCCCAGACTAGTGGCAACCCAGTTCTTGGGCTCCTTCCCCATTCTGCTTGCGTCAACAGCCCCCTCAACTCTGCTTCTCTGGGTATCTGGGGAGGGTTACTGCACCCAGTTGAAGCTTGATGGTATCTTCCTCTGTCCTCCGGGATGGACTAGCGTGGCCTTCTGTGGCGTCACTTAACGCGGCTGCTTGCGTTTGGTTGACGACGGCGTGTCTGATTTCACGTGGCAATGTGCGGGCACGGGGTGGGGTCGCTGATGTGGACAGAGGTAGAGACCCTGCAGGCCATCCCCACTGCCAAGGAAGGGGCTTTGCCCACCAGAGCCCAAGGCTACAGACGACAGGTCACTTTGTTAAAAAAATAATATAATATCAAACAAAAGAAAGTAAACTAAAACCCTTCTTCTGCGGGGCTCAGGCAATGTTCATTCACAGTATTCTACTAACCTCAGCGCCTCCAGCCCTCGCTTAAAAATCCGTGAAATCGTAGGAGCCACTCTTACCTGATGAGGCGGGGTCTTGTTGGTTTCTTTGACAGGAAAAAAAAAAAAAGAAGAAGAAGAAGAAGAAGAAAGAAAGAAAGAAAGAAAAAAGAAAAAGAAAAAGTCCCGCCTGCGAATTCTAGGCTGCTGCTCCGTGGCGTGAAGCTCCCCCTCCCCAGCCCGGAACCTCCTTTTCCCCCGTGCAGCACCCCCCAGACCCCCGCCTTGTCAGCCGCCCAGCTCCAGGGGATGGCATTCTGGACGTCTGACCAGGACCACCTGGACCCATCAATTCCGCGGGAGCCACGCGGCCCAACTCTTAGAAGGACCCGAGGTGCCGCCGTTCCACCTGAACTTGCCCCCAAGGGTAGCCTGGCCTCGGGCCTCACTGAACTGTGGCTCGGGCACAATCGTGTCCTACCGCCTTCTACTGACCAGAACAGCTGCTTTATCTTAAAGGTTTTTTTTGTTTTTTTTGGTTTTTTTTTGGCCCGGCAACAAGGGAGAAGGGAAGTGGCAAGACGTGCTGCTTCGCATTACCCTGACGATATTTTCAGACGCACCCGGAGAAGTGGCAGCCCGGAAGGCAACCCACGCACCTCCGAGGACCCCTTTCGTGTCCCCGCACTAGTATTTGCACGTCCCTTGGGACAACACCGGAATCTAATCCTCAGCTGCAGCCGCGCGCCCACCTCCCTCCCGCGTCCCCACCCCGAAGCGCCAGGCTAGCATCGCAGCGGGGGCGCTGGGGCAGCACAGAGCCGCCCCGAGGTCGTTCTGGGGCGAAGTGCCCGCCTTCGCGTCCGCGCTCTCGTCGCACGCTGCGGCGTCGTGGGCGGCCGGGGCCCAGGCTGAGCACTGCCTCTTGGCTGCGCCTCAGGGACGCCTGCCGGGCCCGGGCCGCTGACCCGTCGGCTTCTCCGCAGTCTCAGAGCGGGCCTTGGGAGGCCCAGGCCGGAGGAGCGCCCCTCCTTACCCCCACTCCCCGCCACATCCCTCCTCACCCTCTCTCGGGCTTCTGTGCCTTCATTCCCCAGCGGCCATATACCTTGAATGGGTCATCCCTGCCTGCCTCCCTAGAGCTGCCTCTCGAAGCCCTGGGGTTGAACATTAACCAGCCGGAGCTATAGAGTGGGGTAAAACGTTACATATAAAAATGAATCATCTATCCGATCCTGGGAGAGAGGACCTATAGCGAGCTCTGCGCCTAGAGCTGCCCTGGCAATGTCCCCGGCCCAATGCACAGACCGTTCTGGCATCCACTTCCTAGGGACCGTTCGGCCCCGGGCGGTTGAGGTTAGGTGGAGGCGGGGGGAGATGGGGGTTATCGAAACAGCCGTTCTCCTTGAGTAACCTGATGTTTAAGCTTTCAAAACCAAGCGAATTTCCCTTCCTTTCACACTTGAGGTACACAGAAAGGTCTGGAACAGCCTTTCGTATCTTAACAAAGTTAGTGAGAATAGCTGAAGTTCTAGGAAGAGAGGCGGCCCACATGGTCAAGAACCCAAGCTGATCGGTCGACTCCGGGGATCGGCCGCCAGCCCTGGCGCTCTGGATGGACCCTGGGAGGCAGGGCTGGGTGGGTAGTGAGTGGAGCGGGAGCTCTGCAAGCCAGGCTGGAGCCTGAGTGGAGGCGCAAGGGGCGGGGGGGGGGGGGGGGGGGGGTGCCTGGCCCCCGGGCTGGGCCCATATGCACAGTCCTGCCGATATCGGAATCCGAAGCTCAGGTCTCACCTCGACTCCCCTCTCCTGGGCCCTGCCTGTTTCCCACTCTGACTTATTTCTTTCTTTAAACATAGTACTGACTAGACCCACTTCCCCAGTCAAATATACAGAACTTATGAAAAGATAACAGCTGGGAAAGAATTCAAGATAGTGCACCTCCTGAGTTCTTATGCCCTCACCTGGAAACGTTAGCAAGTCGTGGTGCTAGGCAAATCCCTGAATAGAAAGATGATTCTGTTTCCAAATCTCTCACTCCGTCTAACCTCTCCCTTCCCCTCTCCCCCATTCAAGAAAGGGGGTAAAGAAGGTGCTAGCAAGAGAAAAATGTTACATGAAGCTTTCAGGAGTTGTCAGCCAGTCTGCAGAATAATTCTTGTACTTCTTAAGCAAATTGGCTTATTTCTATCCAAAATAGCTGCTTTACTCAAAACAGTGCCTAGCCCATAATAACCTCTTAGTAAAGATTTCTTGAACAGATAACACCCCTGCTCCCTACCCTCACCTGGGACTCTATCTCTGACCTGCTCATTGAAGCAGCATAATTTTTACCAAGAACGTTCACCCAGATCTTTGTACTCAGGGGTGTGAGAAAGTGGCTGTGGTGGCATATGCATCTGGTGTGAGCTGTGCATCATTCCATTACTCTCCAGGTCATGTTGTAGCTTCTTCAAAAACCACTTCTTCTCTAGTGTGTTTGCAGCCTACACAGTGACTGTGAGAATTTCTGGCAGGAGGTAGAGGATGGCAACAGGGACATTCGGGGAACAAGGTTTCAGAGCCTCAGCAGGCATCAGGCATGTGGTGAATACCATGTATTTGTATTAGCTGAATATTAATCAGTTTGAGGAGAAAGGACTTTGAGTGTGAGCTGTGGTTACAGGATACTCATCACTTCAACCAGTGTCAGTGCTCTAACTTCAGAGCACACAGTATTTTATGTGATTACCATAGAGCAATATAACCCACGTTTGTCATCACCCAACTTTGTGCTACACCAACTTCCCTTAGAAAAATAGAATTGTCTCGATGTTCTACCAGTTAGCTCCCCAGAGGGAATGAACACATCAAACCAAATAAATAAAAGAGATGAGTCACACTCAGTTGTCCTACAGTGGCTTAGAGATACAGAGAAACTTATAGGTGGGGAAAGGGCATTTACTATTAAAGGTGCAGGTAGCTGGGGAAAGGGATAAGATAAAGGGTATGCAGTGCTCACTCAAACTCTCTTCCCCCCCCCCCACAAAATTACCATGTTATCTGACACTCTCAATCTATTTGTGTCCTGGGTAACAGACAGTTAGTTTGACAAGAGGTCATAGACTAGAGGGCTTGGGTGATTGGAAACACGTTTGACAAGAAAGGAATCTGGGTGAGGTGCCACCATGG